GTGGAGGAGGTTCACTGAATGCCCCCACTGCTGTTTCATAGCCACCACCCGACAACCCAACCATTTTCTTTTAAAAAATAAGGCTCATTTAACTCCATGTAGGGGTAAAATTGACTTATTAAAATATTACAAATGCCCACATCAACAAACCAATAGTTGCATAACAATGGACATATTTATAATGCATTGCAAACCTCAAAGAGGAGGATGTAACTTTTAAAAACGGTCAAGGTGTAATTGACAGTATGACCTATCTTTAAGAAAAAAAAAACAAAAAAAGGGCAATCACATCGGCACAAAACTCAGGGTTGTCGGTGTAATTTTACCCAACCGTTTAGAAGGCAACCAAGATCAGAACAGATTATCTTCCAACTGGTTGATAAGAGTGTAAGACAAACAGCCCCATACTCTAAAAATTAAAAGAATTAGCAACCATAGATCAACAGTTTGCCATTTATGATGCATCAAAAGTCCACCATGGCAGTGCAATTTTGAGAAACCCAAAAAAACAAAAAACAAAAAACTGCTAAACGGTACAAACAAAATAACCGGAGCACAAAAACAGTAAATCTTGCACCTTTAATTACAAGGATGTAGTAATCAAATCAGCTACTTCTTCAAGAGCATTGCACTGAACTGTGCCATTATCTTTGATGCCTCGTGATTGATTAGTCATGTAGAAATTCTCCAACGGCAGTCCAAATGGGAGTCGACTCATCTTGTGCCAGACCTCAGGTTTCAATAAAGCAGAAAAAAGTAGCCGGTTGTCTCCGTCCATGTGCAAGAGAATTCGTGCCAATCAGTCTTATCCGGTTCCGGATAGCCCAAGAGTATCGTAAGGCGACGTACCCTGCACCTCAGACAAAGCCCTAATTATTTTCCAATCATCCTCGCGTCACCAACAGTGGGGAACTGCAGCAGAGTTTTGGTTGAGAGCACACCCTTTCTGTATTTACAGTATGTACCTCCTCTTCGGTGAATGCTGCAGCTGGTAAAATGACATTGGCACGGATACACACTCTGATCACCTGATGGCCCTGATAAACACAAAAGCATCCTCGGAACTTTCTCCAGCTCAACATCATCAGCACCATCAAATATCACAAACTTTGCAGATCAATACTGTGTTCAGATTTAGGCACGGTACCCAAGTCGGCAGCGAAGCTCTTACCTTGGGCAGCATTTTGAAGCAATACATTGAGACGCGTTCCAGTCTGGTCTGATAATATTCCCTTTTTTTGCAATAGTTTAAACAACTGAGAAAATTGCAAATCCTCATCATTCCTCTCAAAAGATCCCCGCACGCGACAATGATGACGTGGGTCTTCGCATTTGAGAGGGGCAGAGTAAAAGGGATGCGACCCTCAAGCGATTTCAGATAGTGTTGAGGACCTTGTGCCAAGGTGCTGGTAATCGTAGTTTGATAATCAAGTTTGGTGGGCAATGTAGCCGCAACCTTAGCGTGGGTTTCTCGGACTGTTTTTTCTGATTCTTGCTTCACCATGGCAGCTTCAACCTTGGCTGGCAATTCAATATTAAATTTGGGAATCAGAACAAACCTTGCCCACCACCCCAAATTCATTAAGTAGTCACAAGAAGAGCAGAACAACAAAAGATAAATCACATCCATGCAGCTTATAAAATAATTGTGAAGTCCCAAAGCTGCTAATCCAGTAAAAAGCCAATTCCAAAAATTCAGGGGGGGCGCAAGTGACCAATATTTCACGCAGTCAAGACAACGTAAAACATTTCTTTTATTTTCTTTCAGATGGAAAAAAATTATCAGCCTCCCCCTATTATTAATTTTCCATAGATTCATGGCAGCACAGTTATTGTCAAATCACTGGTAGATTTCCCAAACACAGCAAAGTCTCTTACCAATGACAATGCAAGAAGATGCCGCCCTAAGTTTGTTTATGATGTTCCCAACTTCTCAAGGACTCCTGAACACACTGACCTAATTCACTGTTCAGATTTTAAACTTAAACAGATCAACTGCCGACAAGACAATGAGCCCATAGGTCATTTCCGAATAAAAAGGAAGTGTAATTTGTATTTTACATTCATCAGGCTTTTGAATGAGGTTTAAATATTGGTTATATTTTCATAAACATATACTCCTTACCCATATATGTATAAATAATAATTT